GCCCCTCTCCCACTTGTCCCTCCCATCTGGAAGTTGCCCTAAGGTGCCAACCTCTGCCTTTTCCAGAAAATCACTACTGACTCAGTCCTTACTCCCCACCCCGCCTCATCCCTACAGGGTAAAGAAGTGGTGAAAAAAAAATTGTCCAAGAAAACTTCTGAAGGGGGCGGACCTGGCACGCTTCAAGCATGGCAGTAGCAGAGAAAGGAGGCGGGGGCGGGGAAGGGAGGAGGAGCTGGCCAAAAGCCCAGGGCTCTGTGCCAGGCTGATCCAGAGGCAGGGCAGCCAGACAGGCGGGAGGACAGGCAGGCGGGCAGGCTGTCGGGTGGCAGGCTGACAGGGGTAGGGGCCAGAAAACACTGACCTACTAGGAGATGTGGGACTGGCCAGAGCAGATGCCACCATCACAAAGAAAGCCAGAGTGTGAGAGGACTGGAAGGCAAGGACACCACTGGAATGCAACTGTCGCCCTATGAGCAAGGTCTTTTAATGTATGTGGCATACATGCACTGCCTCCTTCCTACATCACTTGTTGGGGAAAAGTAGGAAGGAAAAGCAGGTCACCAAGAGCTACTCTGGGCTGAACCCTTCTTCCCACTCTGGAAGGCTCTTCCACCCATATTTAGGGGAGACAAGGGAATCACTCAGCTTACATAAAGACAGACATAGAGAATCACTCAGCCTATATGACCACACACATGACCACAGACACATGCAATACACACATCTTTTTTTTTTTTTTTTTGAGACGGAGTTTCGCTCTTGTTACCCAGGCTGGAGTGCAGTGGCGCGATCTCGGCTCACCGCAACCTCCGTCTCCTGGGTTCAGGCAATTCTCCTGCCTCAGCCTCCTGAGTAGCTGGGATTACAGGCACGCGCCACCATGCCCAGCTAATTTTTTGTAGTTTTAGTAGAGACGGGGTTTCACCATGTTGACCAGGATGGTCTCGATCTCTTGACCTCGTGATCCACCCGCCTCGGCCTCCCAAAGTGCTGGGATTACAGGCTTGAGCCACCGCGCCCGGCCACAATACACACATCTTAACCTGTCACCAAGAAGTTCCAGTTGAAAAACATAAGATTCATACATTGAGGCAGAAAGGAAAGGGGGTAAGCCTCTGAAGCCTGAGAGGATGTGAAACAGTCACCCTCATTTCACAGATGGAGAAACTGAGGCTCAGAGAAGGATATCAACTTGCCAACTTGGAGGCAGGACTTGTAGGCTGCTTGTGCTCACTGCACCAAACTGTGCTACTTTCTCTCTGAAGACAAGTGTTAATACAGCAGAAGTCTGAACAGCCCCGACGTCAGGAGCAGGAAAGGTGCCCATATTCTGTATGGTTAAGTGCATGCCAACTGGCTTTTACCGCATGCGGCTCTAATTTGGGCACGGGATTTCACTCGCAGAAGAGCTAAGTGCCCTATAATACGGCTGGATAGCTTTCAGGGAGATTTGTTAACAGGGTGAAAGGGTGCTCACCAAAAATTCCTACCACACAAAATGTCATCTTGGTCTGGGGGAGGAAGGAAGCAGCTTGTGGAAGGTGCTAAGTGGCAGTGGGGTCAAGCCAACCTCAGCATGAATACTTTGCTCAATTCGCCTATCTCGGAAACAGTTTGACAAGAAACCCATCTGAGCAGCCGACGGTGAGCAGGCCAAAACAGAAGCTCCGGGACAGCCCAGCTCTTTCCAGACAAATTCCACATCAGCCTGGGCCACCTGCCACCCTCTCCCCAACCTTGAGTGGCTCCCAAAGGGGAGCTGGTCAGGTAGGAGCACAGAGAATAGGGGACCCGAGGGGTGGACTGAGGGATGTGGAGAAAAAACCATCAGGACAAACCTAAAGTGTGAGGACAAATGTAAAAGAGGTGACCCAACAGGAGCTGTGCAACTGAGCCTTCCTGCTAGAAGCAGAGAGAGAGAGGTCCCCTCAAGGACATTGCTCACCATCCTTCTCAGACTGGCAGTGGGAAGGGAAGTTTCCAGAATCTTCCCTGGAGGTCGGGAAGGTTACTAAGTTCACTAAGCTACGACAGAGGGAAAGGTGGCGGGGTGCAAGAAGACCATTTGCAGCCCAGCCCGCCTCCCTGGAGATGATGGTTTAGCTCTCATCCCCGCTGGAGATGCCAGCCTCTCTCCAGAAAGCTTAAAAGTCACACGCTCATGGCCGGGAGCGGTGACGTCTGCCTATAACCTCAGCACTTTGGGAGGCCAAAGTGGGCAGATCCCTTGAGGTCAGGAGTTGGAGACCAGCCTGGCCAACATGGTGAAAGCCCGTCGCTACCAAAAATACACAAATTAGCCAGGTGTGGTGGCGGGCGCCTGTAATCCCAGCTACTCGGGAGGCTGAGGCAGAAGAAGCGCTTGAATCCAGGAGGCGGAGGCTGCAGTGCACCAAGATGGCGCCACTGCACTCCAGCCTGGGCGACACAGCGCACGCTCAGGCCCTCGGCGGCTCAGAGGCCCGGCCGAGGATGGAGCTGGCGCCCAGTGGAAGGCGTCATGAGAGGTGCCTTGGAAAGAGACAGAGTCCCGCTCTCTCCTCCAGAGGCAACAACCGAGGTAGCCCTCTCAGAAGCAGAGAGGAAACCAGACCAGCCTCCATAGCAATCCCACTTCGGCAGCTTCCCCACTGCACGGTGAGAAGGGCCCAGCGGGCCTCCGCGTGCTCCTCGGGGTCCTTAGTGACCCCTGGTGAGGATGGACAAGCATCTGGGCACCAGCCCCACAAGCGTGTGCGTGCCCGTCAGTGGCCAGCGCTGCGCAGGAGCCCTCAGGGATCGGGCATCCGCGTCCCCCCCAGCTGGCAACAACGACCTGCTGGTGGGAAACCGGCACCACTGCTGGCTTCCTCCTGGCGGGGCTTCCTCAGCCAGTCCCTGCACGGCCCCGCGTGGCCCTCCTTCCCCTCAAGTGCCCTCTCTGCAGAGGTCTTCCTCCCCAGGGCTCCCCACGGTCTAGAATGCCCTACCACCACGGATGCTGCCTGGGAGAGCTGAGTGCCTTCCAAGATGGTTCCCGCCTATCTTTGACCAGGAGGAGGGGTAGCTCTTCAAGAGCCAAGAGGACCTAGGCGGAGAACACGGTGGTTGGCAGGGCCGGGAAGGCGCAGCAGAGCGGGCCACTGAGGGGGACGGCGACTGGGGGGGCTGAGACAGACGGGGAGTCTGAGGGGACGGGGACTGCGGGGAGAACCACTGAGGGGGACGGGGACTGAGGGGAGACTGAGGGGAGAACCACTGAGGGGGACGGTGCCTGGGAAAGGCGGCGGCAGCTGAGGCGGGGGAGGGGCGCCCTGGTGAACGGGCAATTGAGAACTGAGACGGCGCAGCTGAGGGGCGGGCCGCCCCCTCCCCAGCCCCTCTCACCTAACCCGGGAAGCTGAGCACTCGCCCTTCCACCCCGGCCTCTGGGTGGGCTGAGGCCGCAGAGCGCAAGGAGGGGGACAGAGCAGCCCCCAGCCCCTCCACCACACGGCTCCGGGTCTCCGGGTCTCGAATGTTCTACCGCCAGAGCCCCCGGGCGCCCCGACTCGACTCGCTCCAAACCTGTCCCGCGGAGACAAGCGGCCCAAGGCTACCCGCCCTGGGCCCCGAGGGGGGAGGGGACCCGCGGCAGGGGCTGCGGGGTGGGGGTGGGGACCAGGACTTTGCCCTTTGTCTCTCTCCAGAGCCACCGGCCAGTCGAAACCCGACCTCGTGGCGAAGCCAGGCAGCCGGCGAGGGGCAGGCTCCCCCTCTGGGGTCCTTTAGTAAATCCAGACCCGACCTCCCCGTGGTCTGGGCTGTGACTGAGGTGGTCCTGTGGGGGAGGGGGCTTCCCGCCTGCACCAGGCCTGCAAGCATTTAAGTGGCAACCGGTTGGGGGTGGGGAGCCGGGGAGAGGCTGGAAGTGGGGCCGCGGAGGCTTGAGGGGAGAAAATGGCCCAGGAGGCGACGGGACGGGGCGGGAGGCCTCCCACTGAGAGGCCAGGAACTGAGGCCTGGGAGCAGGGTGGGGGCACGGAACCTGGAGCCTTCGGGCCGCAGAGAAAATAACTCTCCTCCCAGGCAAGTCCCCACAGAAGACCTTCTGGGAAGCTCCACAGCCAAGTCACAATAGAAGTCATACTCGCACCCATGCAGAGTAGTACGTTTGTTTTGGGGGTGAGAATGACCTTTCAGACCTTTAGGGGTGTCATCGATGAATGATTTGTTAGTAACTCACCTTTGCATGGTGCTTTAGAGTTCACAAAGTACTTCTTTATGCCCACACTATGAACCTGGAACTACCACAAGTTGAGCCTCTCAACAACCAGGGGAGACTGAGAATATTGCTACTTCCGTTCTGCAGGTCAGAAAACGGGCTCAGAGAGGTCAAGGTGACACTGGCCAGCAAGTGTCACTACACTGTGCAGCCTGTTCCTGCTTGCCAGGGAAAAAAAAGGTAACTGGATTACTGTTTTTTAGAAACTAACATGTATGAAACCAGGCTCCGTGGCTGGTGCCTGTAAACCCAACACTTTGGAAGGCTCAGGCTCTCCCTTGAGCCCTGGAAGTCAAGGTTGCAATGAGCTGTGATTGTACCACTGCACTCCACCCTGGCGACAAAAGGAGACCCTGTCTAAAGAAAGAAAAAAGAAACTAACATGTATGAACTATGAATTATGATTCTGTAGACTTGTATGTAACAAAGGTCAACTCTTTGTCCCTTCCTGCTGGGAGTCGGGGGGAGGGGGAGGAGGGGAAGGGAAGCATCTCAATCCCTGCCCTTCCCCCCAAGCTCCCATTTTCCCCTGGGTTGAACCCAAACAAAAGAGGAGGGGGGGGGATCAGCCAAAAGCTCCAGCCCTTGGTACCTTCCAGAAGCGTCGAAGGATGGAGGTTCCTAGAACTCAAAATACTAATTCCTCTTATTTTATGAGGCTTCTGGAGATAGGGAGGATTCAGGTGAGGAAACAGATTCCCAGGAAAAGAGAGAGTGATCCCAGATCCCACACCTTTCACATCTGCAAAAGGACAAGCTGAGGCTGACACCTAAGTTCTAACCACTCAGATCTTTCTTCTGCTTTGCTCAGCTCCCTCTCAGTGCATTATTTCATTCCAACAGAATAACCATTTCCCATCTTAGCTGCCCAGACAAGGGGAGAAAATTTGGACCCATCCATCTCAATTTTCTTCAACCAGCCGGGCGCAGTAGGTCATGCCTGTAATCCGAGGACTTTGGGGGGCCAAGAAGGGCAGATCACAAGAGATCAGGAGTTCAAGACCAGCCTGGCCAACATGGCAAAACCCTTTTTCTACTAAAAATACAAAAATTTGCCAGGTGTGGTGGCACATACCTTTAGCTACTCGGGAGGCTGAGGCAGGAGAATCGCTTGAACCTGGGAGGCAGAGATTGCAGTAGCCAAGATTGCACCACTGCACTCCTCCCTGGGTGACAAAGCGAGACTCCATCTCCAAAAAAAAAAAAACAACAGTTTTCTTCAACCATTCAAGATAATCTGAAAATCTCAACAGTGACAGGAAAATACAATGCAAGGTATGTATGAAATGCCTGGGGAGGATGGAGACTCAGAGCAAAGAGAAATTTTATCTGCTAAGCTTATGCCCCACCCTCTAGCCCCTGCAAAAAAAAACCTCAAGAAAACCTCAACCTCTCTAAATATTGGAGGATATCCCAACTTTTTTTTTTTTTTTTTTTTTAAGAGACAGGGTCTCATTCTGTTGCCCAGGCTGGAGTGCAGTGGCACCATCATAGCTCACTGTAACCTGAAACACCGGGGCTCAAGCAACCTTCCTGCCTCAACCTCCCGAGTTCCCAACTTCTAAGAGAGCTCAGCTTTGAAAAAGAAATGCCTGGATTTGAAATCCCAGCACTCTTACTTATTGACGGTGTGACCTTAGTTCAGATTATTCTGTAGAATGAAGATAATACCTTCAGAGTTCTTTGGGGAATTCGGTGAAGTGACATTGTGAGCTGAGTAGATACTCCATAAATGCTCTTGTAATTGTAGTAGAAACTCATCTTTTGACCCTCATTGCCTCGCATTGTTCAGAAGCAAAGATGCTCAATAAGGGAAATAGACAGGAGTGGCTGCCCTACCTACTGAGAGCCTCATTTCTGTGAATCATCACTGAATGCCTCCTTCTTCTAGGTGAATGAATGGTTTGCCCAAAAACAGCTCCCAGTCTATCCAGAGTCTCACTGTGTCACACAGGTTGGAGTGCAGTGGCACAACCTCGGCTCACTGCAACCTCCACCTCCCGGGTTCAAGCGATTCTGCTGCCTCAGCCTCCCAAGTAGCTTGGATTACAGGCGCTTGCCACCACGCCCAGCTAGTTTTTATAGTTTTAGTACAGACGGGGTTTCAATGTTAGCCAGGCTACTCCACAATGCTCTTCTTTTTTTTTTTTTTTTTTT